CAAGTCGTTGGAGTACAACGTCCATTTGACGTCATGTTGATGTCCTGTGCCTACAAGGAAGACGTGCGCTATAGTGGAGTTGGATGAACTAAATTGGCCATAATGTATGAGTGTGTGTAAATGCAAGAGTGTATGGGTGTTTCCCAGTACTGGAAGGGCATCCACTGTGTAAAACATATGCCAGAATAGTTGGGAGGTTCATTCCACTGTGGCAAACCCCTGATGTATATTTAAGGGACTAAGCCGAAGAAAAATGAACGAATCTTGAATGAACTTTGTTATAGTTTCCACAAATATATATAGCAGATCAGCTGTTTTCAAAATCATCAAATGTTATTATGATTACTGAAAGATCCTGTGACCTTGAAAACTGCGTCATTGATGATGAAGATTCAACTTTACCCTCATTAAAAATATTTTAAAGGTAAAAACAAAAAAACAAGAAATACTTATTTAAACTGTAATTATATTTGACAACATTACAGTTTGTACTGATAAAAATTTAGTTCAATAAAAAACTCTTTTATATGGTAGTTATAAATTATAATAAGATAAAATTAAAAGTGTTGAGGGTTGTTGAATGAGTTTCTTATGCCCTTAAAAGCTTGCACTCTATTTTTCAAAGTTTTTTAGCTGCTCTGTCACTTACTTGTATGCATTCTGTAACTGAATACACTATACCTGTCAATCAATCATGTCACAGTTAATATCCTTCATTTGCATGATTATTTTTACTACAATATTAAAGATGAAGTAACAAAATCTGTAACAAAAAGTTAAAACCTGCCATTTACAGGTCTTTAATTCACACAAAACTGAAAATTATGTCATCGTTGTGTCATTCAGTTGTCACAAACTAAAAAAAGTTTCTTTATTTTGTTGAAACCAAAAGAAGATATTTTGAAGAAAGCTTAAAACCTGTAACCATTGACATCCATGGCATTTGTTTTTGCTCCTATGGAAGTCAATGGTTACAGGTTTTTAACTTCAAAACATCTTCTTTTGTGTTCAAAACAGAATAAAAACCTAATAAACAATTAAATAGTTTGGAATCAACTGAGGGAGAGTCAATAGTGAGCAAATTTTCATTTTTGGGTGAACTATCAATAAATGAAGAGAAATCTGCCAATGTGATACTAGTTAAAAATAGTTAATTATTTTCCTTCGGCTTAGTCTCTGATTATCAGAGGTCACCACAGCGGAATAAACCACCAACTATTCCAGCACATGTTTTACTCAGCGGATGCCCTTCCAGCCGCAACCCAGTACTGGGAAACACCCATATACACTCTTATTCACACACACTCATACACTATGGCCAACTTAGTTTATTCAATTTACTTATACCGCATGTCTTTGGACTGTGAGGGAAACCGGAGCATCCAGAGGTAACCCATGCCAACACGGGGATAACATGCAAACTGTGCTAAACACTGAGCCACCGTGCTGCCCTAATTTGAGATATGCTGATTTAAAATTTAATACTATTTAGGATGATAAGTATGCAAATTGGGACACAGCATAAGTGGTATATAATGATTCAAGTCAAATAAATCTCAAGAAAACGCATGATTTGAGAAAATACGGTGTACATAAAACATGCCAGAGATACATAAACAGTTTATTGGCCATGTAAACAACAAGGTTAAATTGGGTTGTTAAGTAAAATATTTATTAAGGATGCACTGAAAGGAAATTCTGGATCCTCTTGGCCAAAAACCGAAACTGCTTCGTATCAAATATTTATATTGTTTTATTTAATACTATAAAGAAATTTTGTACGCCTTTTAGATGCAACTAAATACCTAAAATAATATAGATTTTTAAAAACGCATGCCTTAAAAAAACACATTTTATTGAAGTTAACATTTTTATTGACAGTGAATGAGTTGAAAGATCTCAATTTACCAGAGCTGCCATGACAGCACAGTAGTGCTATTGAAAGCAGCAGGAACAAGTATACTACATAAAGAAGGTCCTTTTGGAGCATTATTGGAGTGAACTGCTTATATGTTGAGCGTTTGCAGTACATGCATGGATATATTCAAAAAGCCGGTGACAGCAAATCCCAAAAAGCTTTGGTGGAGTTTTGGTGTTATCGCCTTTTTGAATAGATTTTTCCAGTTTTTGCTGTTTGGCTGAGCACCCATTTAGACTGCTTTTACACTGCAGATCTTGATGGTCAATTCTGACTTTGTGATTGTCTCCGAGTTTTTTGATGACCTGCTTACATCATCTTTTAAAAGTGACTTGCATCCAATTGTCTGCATTTATACTACACACGGCAAAGACGCAATGACCAGGAAAAAAAGAGCAGGCGCTGACTGACAGCTGATAATAAAAGAGTGTATACACTCACTGGCCACTTTATTAGGTAAACCTGTCCAACTGCTTGATAACGCAAATTTTTAATTAGCCAATAACATGGCAGCAACTCAATGCATTTAGGCATGAAGACATGGTCAAGATGATCTGCTGCAGTTCAAACCGAACTTTAGAATAAGGAACAAAGGTGATTTAAGTGACTTTGAAAGTGGCATGGTTGCATCAGACGGGCTGGTCTGAGTATTTCAAAAATACTGATCTACTGGAATTTTAACGCACAACCATCTCTAGAAGATTAAAAAGAAGACTGGAAAAATGTTGCCTGGTCAGATGAGTCTAGATTTCTGCTGCGGCATTCGAATGGTGGGGTCAGAATTTGGCATCAACAACATGAAAGCATGGATCCATCCTGCTTTGTATCAATGGTTCAGGCTGGTGGTGGTGGTGTAATGGTGTAGGGGACATTTTCTTGGCACACTTTGGGCTCATTAGAACCAATTGAGCATTGTGTCAATGCCACAGCCTACCTGAGTATTGTTGCTGACCATGTCCATCCCTTTATGACCACAGTGTACCCATCTTCTGATGGCTACTTCCAGCAGGATAACACACCATGTCACAAAGTTTGAATTATCTCAGACTGCTTTCTTGAACATGACAATGAGTTCACTGTACTTAAATGGCCTCCGCAGTCACCAGAACTCAATCCAATAAAGCACCTTTGGGATGTGGTGGAACGGGAGATTCACATCATGGATGTGCAGCTCACAAATCTGCAGCAACTGCGTGATGCTATCATGTCATTAGCCCCTTTCACACAGTGATACCGGTAAATATCTGGAAAATTTCCGGAACGACTTTACCGGTATATTCAAAAAAGCGCTGTTCACACAGGCGAGGATGTTACGGAAATTTTCCGGAAAAGAGCATTCACACATCCATTCCAAAATACCGGTAAATTCTGACATCATTCACCACAAATGAGCTTTAAACGGCTGCGCTTGTATTTGTAAACATTTGACTAAATTACAAAGTCTGTGGATGATCAATATTGTGAACAACTTTCGCAGGATCACTTTCGCATGTCGAGATGTTCATAATATGTGCGTGTGCAGGCGCTCACAGGCTGTTCCACAGGCACACGCAAAGCTTGAAGGTAAACAAACAACGGCTTATCATAAGCATCTCACCGATGATTATTTAAACAGTTGGCATTAAGAAGAACATATAAACGAGATCTGACTAACTTCTAGCAGCTAAATGTGTCTGGAAAAATATTCAAAGGCTTTTATTCTCACAAACCGCGCGGACGTAAATGCGTCTGACTGTTCTGATTTGATAAAGCAGACGTCTCACATCAGCACGCTCTAAACGTGCACGCGCTCATTACGGCAATCTTCCTTCTGCATTCACACAGCGCAGCATTCCTGCAAATTGCCGGTAATATTACAACTTCTCTTTCCGGAAAATAGCCAGAACGAATTTACCGGTATTTTCAAAAAGGACCTGTTCACACATACAACCTTTCCGGAAAGGTCTGTATGTGTGAAAGGGGCTATTATTGACCAAAATCTCTGAGGAATATTTCCAGTACCTTGTTGAATCTATGCCACAAAGAATTAAGGCAGTTCTGAAGGGGGTTGGACCCCCTGGTACTAAGTACTAGGGTGTACCTAATAAAGTGGCCGGTGAGTGTATACTCTTTCTTAAAAATGACAAAAAGGTCCATTTGTTGTGCATGAATGATTTAGACTGGCTTGAAATGCTCACAGGCACAGGCTTTTAAAAAAGGAATTTCATTCTGGTTAAACTTTGCAATTACTCCAAAATCATGTGTGTCAACTGTGGCTCCTAGTCATCTATAATCGTTATTCGGCATTGCAGATCCAGCGATGTGACTATTGCAATGCACACATTGCGATATCGATACTAAAACAATATATTGTGCTTTAAAGTAATAAGCTGACTTTAAGGGAGTAAACTAGCTGCCTTAAAAAGATTAAGCTAATGAACTATGGGCATAACCATAAAAAATATTGAATATTTTAAGTAATTTTGACTCCCTTTTTAATTACATTAATCACATTTTACAGTGTGCAAAAAAAATCCCTACTAATTAAAAAATAAACAGCTGCAAATGAATGTCACAGACTTTACACAGATCTTGATGAAATTTCTAATTGTACCGTCTGCTTAGTTCACACACTCATGATCAAAAGAGCATTATTAGACATCAACAATTCCCCATTCCAAACTGGCAATTAGTTCAAGCAAGATTCCTGTCTTTGCAACTGTTCTTCTTTGGTCAAAAATTAAAAAAAAAACAAGCACACCAAACCTAATTATGGAAGCTTAAACACTGACAGTTAATGATCATGAGCATTCAAGGAGCAGACCTCAATTAAAGCAAAGCCGAGTACACTAACAGTGACATTTTTCCAAAGCAATGTACAGCCCATTCATTACAGGGACAATCCCTCCGGAGCATCCAGAGGTTAAGTGCCGAGCCAAATGGGACGGCGATGATCTCAATAACTCTCCAGCTCCTGCTCTCCAGCTCCATGGGAAATAAAGCGACATCCGTTGCGCAGATCCCAAACCATCAACCCCATGCAAAAAAAAAAAAACTCACAAGCACATCCCCAGCACAGCAAAGCACAGTAAGAGCTACGCACCTTCTCCAGCTTCTCGAAGTGTTCCCGCAGGAACTTCATAGGCCGCTCGGGCTTGGCGATGCACAGGTTGACGATGCACTCTTTGAGGATCTGCTGTATGTTGTGTTTCTGCACAAAAACCTCACAGCCTTTCAGACTTTCATCTTCTTCCAGATTGGAGGAGGAGGTGGCCATCTTATCTTCTATCACTGCTGCGGGGGAAAAAAAGTGGGGAGGATCGAGAGAGAGATATTAACTCTGTGCATCTTATATTCTCTCAAGTAATAATGCTTGCCTGTTGAGTGAATAAGTAATCAATGTATAGACTATAGAATGTACATATATGTCAGTCAGATAGATAGATAGATAGATAGATAGATAGATAGATAGATAGATAGATAGATAGATAGATAGATAGATAGATAGATAGATAGATAGATAGATATGAAATACATGTATACTGTACATATGACATGATATATGACATATATATTTAAAGGCCGTTTATAATAACGTATTTACATTCCACTTCCGCCATTGAATGATATCAAACATCTAAAAGACGACAACTGACGTATAAATAATGTTTTTATCGAGCTGTAACGTTACTTTAACGAAACGTGATGCCGCATTTATTCGTACGTGGAAGAAAAAACCGTCGGTTAAACGCTCGGGCATCACTCTCTGTTCACCTGTTTACGTTTTTATCACAGCATATCCGCTTCGAAATACAAACCTATGCGGTGTACGTGTGATTTTAGTCACGTGTGACCTCGTAAACGGCGTCTGTCGGTGTTTTAACCAGAAAACGGCGGCGTGTGTCACGGTGTTTTATGTTAATTTGGCTTACCGTTATGAGGCGGAGATGCGAGACTCGCGCTCTGGGATGTTGCTTGTTTGGTCCTGCAGCTCGCGAGCGCTATGACGTCAATCCGTATTCTGATTGGACGCTGAAATTAATACACTAATAATAAAGCTCACAATTTTAAACAATCACAAACGTTATTTAGATGTTATGTAAATGGATATAAGGCGAGGGTGAGTTCGTTTTTTGGACGTATTATTTATTTACTTGCGATAATATCCTGTTTCGGCCAATCAATGGCGTTGTGCGTCATCCAGAATAGCACGAGTGCTTTCACAAGCTTTACATCACACAACTGACCTCTACAAACTGGGATGCTTTGTTAACAGACGCATCTGTATGCAGAGATGACTGTGCTGATGTCAGTCTTTCCCCCCTAGTTGAGAAGCTGAAAAAAATCTAAGCATAAGCAATATGTTTGGGAAATAACAAGCAGATTTATCCTACACTATGTATGGGATTGTTGGCAAAAAAAAGTATAGTTTTGTAAGTTGTGGAGTAGAATATATGAGCAATTGCAGCGTTATGGATGTGACATTTGCAGTAAAATCTCAAAACATAAATCTGGTAATCATGGAGCATTATTTCTTGCACATGACCACACAGAACAAAACTGTAGGCATCCAAAGACTTGTAGACCTTTAACTTCTTCTTGTAAAACCCCTTTGAGCTTCAATGAGATGCTTGGATGCTTGGCCATTTGGTCCTATCCATATTCATTGGGAGGGTGCTATCACTAATAGACCTGTCTGATTAACACCACTCACTTTAACGATAATTTTGTCGAAGAACTGTGCTTATCACTGGTTGTGACAAGCTGTTATAATACACTGAAAGCTTTATATAAATAATATGTAATATAATTTAGACAACAATAAACTCTGTACCGCATCGAATGTCATTCCCTCACTGTAAATGCTAGCGCTCCCAGTTCTTTTCTGCAACCTCCTGAATGTTTACAGACATGGTAATTCGTCTATATGTTAACATCTGTTTATATTTTCCAAAACAACTAAACAGAGTTATAGGGGGAGGAAAATCTCAATCTGTAAAAATGTTTTATGTTTTAAATGAGGCAGATACTATACATCTTAAAGACCTTTCTATTATTGCTTCAATTTTTTTGTAATATGTCCTTTCTATTCTTTAATGGATGGGAGTACATAATATAAAGTACACTCACCGGTCACTTTATTAGGAACACCTTACTAGTACCGGTATGGACCCCCTTTTGCCTTCAGAACTGCCTTAATCCTTCGTGGCATAGATTCAACAAGGTAATGGAAATATTCCTCAGAGATTTTGGTCCATATCGACATCTTAGCATCACGCAGTCGAGCAAATTTGTTGGCTGCACATCCATGATGCGAATCTCCCATTCCACCACATCCCAAGGGTGCTCTATTGGATTGAGGACTGGTGACTGGGTAGGCCATTTGAGTACAGTGAACTCATTGTCATGTTCAAGAAACCAGTCTGAGATGATTTGCACTTTATGACATGGTGTGTTTTCTTGCTGGAAGTAGAAATCAAGACTCATCAGACCAGGCATGTTTTTCCAATCTTTTATTGTCCAATTTTGGTGAGCCTGTGCGAATTGTTGCCTCAGTTTTCCGTTCTTAGCTGACAGGAGTGGCACCCTGTGTGGTCTTCTGCTGCTCTGTAGCCCATCTGCCTCAAGGTTGGACGTGTTGTGTGTTCAGAGATGCTCTTCTGCATATTTCGGTTGTAACGATTTCTTATTTGAGTTACTGTTGCCCTTCTATCAGCTCGAACCAGTCTGGCCATTCTCCTCTGACCCCTGGCATCAACAAGGCATTTGCGCCCACAGAACTGCCGCTCACTGAATATGTCCTCTTTTTCAGATCATTCTCTGTAAACCCTAGAGATGGTTGTGCATGAAAATCCCAGTAGAACAGCAGTTTCTGAAATACTCAGACCAGCCCATCTGGCACCAACAACCATGCCACGATCAAAGTCACTTAAATCACCTCTCTTTCCCATTCTGATGCTCGGGTTGAACTGCAGCAGATCCTCTTCATCCTGTCTATATGCCTAAATGCATTGAGTTCCTGCTATGTGATTGGCTGATAAGAAGTTTGCGCCAACAAGCAGTTGGACAGGTGTACCTAATAAAGTGGCCAGTGAGGGTATATATCAGTGCATCAC